TATATATATATATAGGATCAAAGAAAAACAGTCAATTCACATCTGATTTTACATACGATTACGAAACACAGTCAATGTAAGAGTGAGAAGGTGACCTGGTCCGCGACCTCAGGTCACGGTCAAAGTCACGCAATTCACATGTGATTTTGCACATGATTTTAGTGTGAAATCACATGTGATTCGACCGTTTTCATGTTCTCTTATTTGATTACTATTATCGTATGAACCTGACTTTCTCTTTATCTAAATATATAATGTTTAAAAGTTGTAAAGCCTGTTTCTATAGGACCGAATGAATTCCCGATCAGAAAAAAAGGGGGGTCCTTTTCTGGAAAAGATTGGATTCGAAATTGTTGAAAGAATATTACTTATTAAAATATCATATAATAAATGTTCCAGCAAATAAAACATTAAAAAGACTGACAACAATATTAGTTGCTTATAAATAGTATGATTGATTAGCATTCATTAATATTACTGGTTTCTTGTTACCTCCTAAATGCATTTGCCTTTTATGGTCCCACAAGTTTACTTTCATGCCCATAAATTGACTAATGTTGTAATACTAAAATAACATACTCAACATCAACCAAAGACACAAACAATTGAACATATACCTAAACAAAATTGAAATTTGAAACTTAAGCATGTATGAACATCGAGATTGTATAATGTTACTGGAATATTAAAACCTAAACAACTGAACTGATAAAGCATCAAACTTGACGTTATGATCAGATGACATAAAGGTAACTGTAAGCTTAGTTTTGTTCCTCTGTTGGTTTCTGCTTAACGATTCATGAGATACATACTACTATTAGCTATAAGTTTAGTCCAATTTATTTCCACCTATTATGATCTCCAGGTTTTCACTATTATCGGATAGAAAAGAGGATGATAATGTGGCTGAACAATATATAGTTAACAACATAATTGGATTATGAACTATTTTGGCAATGTTTAAATATCCTGATGATTTTTTCTTTGTCTGTGTTGTTCTAAAAGCATCCATCCATATTTCAGTACTTTTTAACAGTGGAATCCATAAACTCGATTTATATTGCACATGGCATGATATATTATCTTGTTCCCATGCTTCCTAGCACACATGTTGTTTCCATTTCCCAAAATTTTGCAGAACCCCCCCCCCCCCCCCCCCCCAAATAAACACAACGAAAACAAAGTCTTCTAGATATGTTAATGTAACATATGATTCTAGTACCTTGAACATCCAACCCATTCAATTAGTATGTTAATCTCTTAGCTTTAATCAAATACATATACACAAACCTGTCTCTTTTAACATTACAGTTTAACAATCCAGAGATATCATATACTTTGTACAGACACAAAGACACATTGAGTTCTTTTCAGTATCACATACATTTATTTCTCTGTACTACTTGCAAGTAAAAGCAGCAACACGAGTGACAGTCAACCCATGTAAGCCATTTATAAGCATCTCCTGGTCCTTAACCTCTAATTTGGATTATTCTTTTCATATCCTTACCGTACTAATATACAATATGATTTTTTGACCTTGAACATCCAAATATCTTTCAATACTTCATCAAAAGGACATGTGTTTTTCAATTCGTCTGTTGTGGCAATGACGACCTTTCGTCTATTAAGCTAGACAGAGAACCTTCAAAACTAATAATTACAAACATACAAATCAAACCCAACTTGAAGAATGTACAATGTAAATTAATGTCAAAAAGTCATGTTGTAGCTATTGTAGCATCTTTAGAGTCAAATTGGGTGAATAGTCATCCTAGCATGACAAATCTTCGTCAATATTCATGCATAAACGTGTTTTCATTATTGTTTTATGTACCTTTTCATTCTCTTTTTCATTCATCAATTTGAAGCAAACAACCTTTAATTACATCTTTTAACTAATCATGATATGATGGTTAATGTTTTAGATATGACAAATTTTGGCGAATCTTTACAATCAAAAAAGCCTAGAGTTAACTGGGAAAAAAAATGTGATGAAAACATTTATTGAGTCTTGTTTACATGAGATCTCCGTAAATGAACAGTTTATTGGAAGAATGTAGCAGAAGTGCTACAAAAGAATCATAATTTTGTTGTTGAACAATGACAAATGAAAAATCATTATGATTACCTCAAAGAAAAGTATGGAGCATGCGCAAAGTTAAGAAACAAGAAGGGTAATATTTATGATGCATCTACAAACATGTTTAATCTGTCAGAAGAGGAATGACAGATAGAAATGAAGGTCACATTTTATCTTTTTTATTAAGATTGTTTTTCTTAAATTCTTCTTTTATATATACTTATAAATCTTCTATAAACAACAAAACAAATTTGTTGAGAAGTTGCATTATATACATCTTCCCTTTCCTCAACTTTGTATTCAATTGTTTGATGGTGTGGCTTCCACTGGTGTTAGAACTTGGGGACCAAATTCTACTGTTCCAAACCCTTCTATACGTTTTGATGTACTAAAATTTTACACATCAAAGTAAATTATAGTGTTGACTCCTATAGGTAAGCACTTACTGGGTAAGTATTTGGGTAAACAACCCTATAAAAGTTTATTTTTCCATTTTATCCTTAATTACGACCTAGAGAAAATTCATCCTTCTATAATTACGATAAAATCATCTTTTTTATTAATTAAAAAAATATAATAATTTCATATTTATAAAACTGTATGTATTTTTAATTATAAATATTTATTTTAAAACCTAGGGAATAGTTAATAAGTAAAAAAGGTAATTTGACTTTTTTTAGCGAACGGAAAACTAATTAAAGAGTATTCGGAGTAAGAAAAAATAGTTAATGTTGATTTGACTTTGACCATTTTTACTTATAATTATACATCAATAGGCAATTTTTAACGTATTCTAAAAAAAAAACTAAAAGTAAAAATCTTGAAAGAAAATTTATATTATTGTCTAAGGGACTGTTTGACAACTGCTGAATGGTTTGATATAGAATGATTAAATAATAAAAATGATTAAAAGACTCTCATGATATAGTACAAAATAAAATATAATTGTTTATAATATAAGTGCGTTAAATGGTTAAGGGAGACACATGATACAAAATCATTTAGAGAGTTTTAGAACCATTAAAAGACAGATTTTTTTGCCAAACAAGATTTACGTCTTAACGATTCAGAGATTGCCTTTTAATAGAATTATTAAGAGGTAAACAAAAAATCCGTAATAGCTTCTTCATTTTAAAGATTACAATATGAATTATATCATTAAAATACTTAATACCTTTTATAAGATATTGTTTATCTCTCCTGTATATTTAATTTCAAAGATTTTTATTGATAAAAAAATGAAAAACAATTTCTATTTCATAGATGATTATTTTTAGAGAACTCTCTAAATTTGAAAATCCCCCCTCCCCTCTTTCTCCATTTTTGAGAAGGTTTTGGAAAATTTATTGAAGCAAAAATCCCCAAAATCTTTATTGTAGAGTATCTGGTCGAATTTTCTATAATTCATCTAAAATAGAGGACCAAAACCACAAGGGTGATGCCTGATTGGTTTGAGCTTAACTCCAAAGGTCAAAAGTACCAGGAGATCTCAAGTTCAAATCCGAGAATGAATGAAAATCCCCTTTGATGTTCAAATGCGGTGACTCCAGACTATTTGCAAAACAGGTGGTCGTTCTGAGATTAGTCGGCTCGCATAACAGGTTGGATATTCAGGTTAATCAAAAAAAAAATAGAGGACCAAAGTCAAAATTTGTACAAAATTGCATTCAACTTTAACAGATTCTCCGTTTTAAAGATTTCAACATTAATTATATTATTTAATTATTTATATTTTTATCATCTCAATATACTCTTTTATATTTTTATGTAAAATAATAATACCGCAATCTTATTGGTGTTTGAATATAATAACTATTTCATTTTCCTCACGTCAAGTTTTACGAAAAATAATTTAAACTTTGGAGTTTTTTTTTTTTTTTTAATTTCTCTATTTTAGAAAATAATATAGAGAAATTATTTATTTAATAAGAAAAATATTAGATGATTTTACTTATTTTAAAAAAAGAAAACAAAAATTAAAGTCTATATAGAAATTTAAAAAAAAAAAGGAAAAATAATAAATGTTTATTTAAAAATGCCATTTTTGAGACTTAAATGTTATATTCAATGAAGGTAATTCAACTACCCAAAGTAAATGAAGGACCGTAATGGACACACACAACTACTTTAATTTCTCATTTCTATAAATAAATATATTTATTTTATTACGATAAAAAAAATGCATTGATAAATCGGGCTGAAAAATATGTTACAATGATTTTGGATTAATTTGAAAATCTATTTTTTAGGTTTATAAAATATTTTTAATATATTAAATATGATTATAAAACTGTATTTATTAAAATAAAAATATTAAACTTATTTTATCTATCTTAAAATGCAAAAATTAACATCTGGATTTGAATTCACCGACAATTATTACAAAATATCGTGTCATCAATTTCACTCCATGTAACAATTTTCTTTTCTTACCAAATTTGTAACACCATTTTATATTTGCATAAAATCTTCATATTTCATATAACATGAAATACAAATTATTATTGTTTTACATATGTGGATTTTTGGGAAGCTGATTATGTACATGGATTTTGTATCTATGTTATTCAAGTCATGTAATTATATAAGCAAAAAGTTTGTAAGTACTTTGTATGTATCATATATGTACAGTTGAAACCTATATGTAATTTATTAATACATATTTTATTTTATTTATAATTATTTTTTAGGTCAAATGATTCAAGTTTGACTTATGTCAATTTAATTGTATACATAATTTAATAGTATTTTTTTTAATATTAATTAAATAATTATTATATTTATTTAGAAAGAGTCCATATAGAGGCTCATAAAAGCTCAGCTGTAGAATGCAGGTGAGCCACCACCTCCCTTCTTTAATTTCTTTCTTCCTCCCTCTTTATCAACCACCTCACTCTCATCGCATCTCTCAATCGGAAAGAAAATGTCGGTTTTCACCGTTAAAGTCGAGGATTCGAGGGCGGCTGCCGGAGAAACACCGTCAGCAGGGCCGGTTTACAGGTGCATTTACGCCAAAGATGGTCTTATGGAGTTGCCTCCCGGTTATGATTCTCCATGGGACTTTTTCAGGTTCTTTTATTAACTTCATTTGTTTCTTGCAATGCAAACAAATTAAAATACGATCCACCCAAATCAACTTTTTGTTAATGAACAGGTGGATCTTGAAAACTCGGTTTTAAAAGCACAGCTTAAAACCGAGTTTTCAAGATTACGAATCTGTATGTTGGTATATCGAATTGACGAAAAACATGAATTCTCGTGTCATTATGACTTGAAGTCAAACAAGTCAAAATGATATATATATATATATATATATATATATATATATATATATATGGTGTAGTTTACACTTAATATTGATGTAATAGTTTGTAAAATTTAGCATACTATAAATCCTTAAAATATATGTATATTAGACTATTGATCCTAAAATCCTGAATTTATATATTTTAAAAAGATTTTCTTAAATTAAAATTGAATAAAAAAAGGATTTTGCTAAGACAAAACTCAGAAGTAAGAGACTAATTAAGCTAAGAAGTGAGGGACAAGTAATTGAGTTCGCCACGAAAACAAAACACAACCTCCATTAAATAAATGAATTTTAGAAATAAAAAATTGATTACTAAATATTGGCAAAATTTATATCTATACTATATTATAAAACATTTGACAAAAGTTATTAACAACTATTTTTTATGCATGAAGTACTGTATATTGATGTATATTACTTAAAATTCAAGATTACAAGTAAATTATGCATAAATACAACTTATTAAAGCTTCATATTTGAATTCGTGTAACTAACTGTGGATAAACATAATCAAATAGATGATAAACATCTCATTTTAAAATATAAAAAATTTAAAATATAATTAAGATAATTATCGAGTTCTAACAAAATAATTAATTGTTATCTTTTGAAAAAAAAATTATATCATTAAACCAAATATAAATTACTTTGTTATTGAACCTAAATTAAATTATAATAAAAAAAATAAATTAAAAAATTACACGAAAAATAGAAATTTTAAATAGTTAATTTGGTACTAATGTCGATATATTTTTATCAAAATTTTATTATATTTTCAAAATTATATTTTATTCAAAAATAAAAACATCATCGTTTTTTCAAAATCACATAAGATCATACTATAACATCGACCTAGATAAATAATAAAATAAAATATTAAAATCAAAATATCGTTACATTACACAAGTATCCTTCTGATTATAATTAATATAAATCATTCAAGAACGATAGTATCGTAATTTGCAATTGCAAACTTTACCTTTTTTCTTCTTTTAAATCATTATATGGACTAGAGAAAGTCAATGCTGATATGTAATACGTGGTGCTTAATCATATATGATTAAGGGACCGTTTACTAAAACTTACTCGACAAGTGCTTATCAGTAAAATTTAATATTATTATTTATTTCTCGGTTAAGATTTTGGTCCACCAAAACGATATTATATGCAACAATTTATCTAAGAAACACTTACCGTGGTAATAATCGTTGCTCTCACTTATCCAGGTAAGACTTTTGGTCATTTTCTTGCTCTTACCGGATAAAATTCTTGGCCCTTGCTACATTTAACGTGGCGAGGTAATGTGACTTGGTAAAATCTTACTCGGATAAGTGTTTGGTAAGGGCTAAGTCGGAAATCATAGATGATATTGAAACTTGTTGTTGATCATTTTATTTATCAAACGATATTGATTCGGTGTTTGGCAACGATCGGATTAGTCTGCTTTCGTTCATCAGCGACTTGTTAGAAGGATTGTTTTGAACACCCTTTTGATTCAAACCTTTTGGTTATTGGTGACAGCGAATCTGTTAAAAGAAACCCAAAGAACCCTGCACTTGGTCGTCGTCAAATCATCGATGGAAAGGTATATTTTGTCATTTTTTGTGTGTGTGTGTGTGTATGTTTATGAATATGGCCTCCCTGGAAGATGATGTTTTGATTCAATTTCTTACAGGCTGGTGGTTATTCATGGATGTCATATCAAGATGCCTTCAATTCTGCCATACACATTGCTTCCGCCATCCGAACACGATCTGTTAATCCTGTATGTCCCCTACCTTTTGATTATTCAACTCCATTCATATACATAAGTTTTCTGATCGCATATACGATCTGTTAATCCTGTGTTAATTCGATTCTTAGTTGATGAGAATTTCACTCCGTTTAAAAAGCCGATTGTTTGGTATGCTCAAATTCAATTTCTCAATTTTAAATTCAGGGAGATCGGTGCGGCATATATGGATCTAACTGTCCTGAATGGATAATTTCAATGGAGGTATGATCATATCTACATTTATATGAAGGGACATTTCAACGTTTACAGAGAGAGATACATGTTAAGCACAAAACTAGGCTAAATCTGAACAATTAACAAACTGAACCTAAACAATTTCGATCATAGCTTTAACGGGTCAATGAATACCCTAGACACATGTAAAATCGGTGTTGAAAATCTCACATTTAACATTCTAAGGGACAACCCTGTTTATATGTTTCGTCTCTAGCTGGAAATCTCCCAATTGATATCAGAAAGCCAGAGTTAGCAATAGGTATCAGAGGGATATTTCTTCTTAATTTTGGTGTATATGATTTGAAGCTAAAGACAATCTTGCTTGGTTCATCATTTCTCAGGCTTGTAACAGCAATGGCATTACCTATGTGCCTCTATATGATACACTTGGTACACCATCCATCTCTTTTGATTTGTAAAACTTGAGTCCATTTCATCTGTATCAACCTAAACATCATCCTTGCCACAGGTGCTAATGCAGTTGAGTACATCATCAACCATGCAGAAATTTCTTTAGTTTTTGTTCAAGAGAGCAAGTTACCTGCTGTATGTTACACTCTTTATCTTGTTTAACCAAATTCTTCGATTTCATTACGTGTGCATATGGGCTTTTCTATATGGAACAGCCTCCTTTTCATCATCTTGTTGATGGATTATGGATTACTGTTGCAGATATTATCATGTGTTCCAAATTGTTCGTCGAATCTAAAAAGTAAGACACCCCCCCTGAACAAATCAATTCTTCAAGTTGAAGTGTATCTTCAAGTTACTAAGGTCTGTGTCTTTCTTTGTGAAGCTATTGTCAGCTTTGGGAAGTTATCTGAATCACAAAAGAAGGAAGCCATGGAACTAGGTGTTGATTGCTTCTCTTGGGAAGAATTTGCTTCCATGGTAAGTATTGTTTGCTAGAATTCTGAATTTGCAGCAATCATTCCATTGCTTATCCAATCTTGCTCATCATTTTCAGGGAAGTTTGGAAGATGAACTGCCTGCAAAACATAAGACTGACATTTGCACCATAATGTATACAAGTGGAACAACCGGAGAACCAAAGGGTGTCATACTAAGCAACGGTGCTTTCATGTCTGAAGTCTTGTCGATGCATCAACTACTCGTAGAAACAGATAAACCGGTAGAGATCCAAATCAAATTGTTCCATGTTAACGGAATTGATCATTTCAATTCCCTTATGCAGTTCCTATCTTTTTGCTTCAGGGGTGTTGGTAATTGCTTATTTGGAACAACTTATACTTTTCTATAAAAGTTCTTATCAACTTATTATAAGTTAGAATGATTTAACTTTTTCAAAAACTTATTACCGGTTTGACACCGGTATAAAAGTTGTTTATCCGAACACTTAAAAGTGTTTATTACCGGTGTCACACCGAAATAAGTCAATAAGTTGTTTTTATAAGCAATCTCAAACACCCCCTTCATATTCATAATTGTTTTTTTGAGTAAATTACGGATTTAGTCCCTGTGGTTTGGTGGTTTTTACGAAAATGTTCCCTGAACTTCATTTATTACAGATTAGGAGTCGTCATATGTCGTTAACGGAGGAACTAGATGGCCATTAGGGGGATGGACCAATTCATTCCAAAACGAAATATGTCGAGTCATAATCTGTAATAAATGAAGTTGAGGGACTATTTTCATATTAACCACGAAATTACAGGGACCAAGTCTGTAATTTACTCTTGTTTTTTTAATAGACATGGTCTTTTTTGTGATCATAACGTTCCTTGAAAAGCTAAAAATATATGAATAAAGTTGTCTGTGTGGATTAATCTGTCTCTATAAATTGAGAAAATCTTTGTTTGGGAGGGTTTTTGATAGATAGAAAGAAGACGTTTTTTAGGAAAAACTTGGCTTTCTTCATAAAGCTCCCAAAAAGCTTACCGAATAAGTCACTTTCTATATCATTAAACGACTACCAAATAGTCATGTATAGCCGACCAAATAAGTCGTGAGTCCTGTTAAGCTCGTTAGGCTGCTAACATAAGGGTATATATAACCAAAGTTCTCTTTGTTGCAGGGCACAGAAGATGATTCTTACTTCTCTTTTCTTCCATTAGCACATATATTCGATCAGATAATTGAAACATATTGCATCTACAGAGGTTCCTCCATAGGATTTTGGCAAGGAGTAAGATACATAGTTATTCATATGTTGTGCTTCTTTAATCTATTTGTTCACCAATCTAAAAGGGTTCCAACTTTTTATCCATCACACTTGCAGGATATCAGATATCTGATTGAGGACCTTCTTGTGTTGAAGCCAACCATATTTTGTGGTGTTCCAAGAGTGTATGACCGTATTTATACCGGTACGAAACCATTTCTGCAAAATGCAGGATTCAAGATTTTGCACAATGATCTGAATCTTATCTTTTGTGGTTGCTGTGTAGGCATAATGGCCAAAATTTCGAGTGGAGGTGCTGTAAGGAAGGCGTTATTCGACTATGCATACTACTAGTATGTCCTATGTCATGATTTGTGAATTGACCTCGGTTCTCCGTGTGTTAAAACTAATACAAAACTGTTTAACAGCAAATTAAGGAATCTTGAAAAGGGAATACAGCAAGACAAATCAGCCCCTCTTTTGGACAAATTGGTCTTTGATAAGGTTAGATTCTAGTTCTTTTATAACTAAAGTCTTGTGGGCATTTGTTTATATTTACATGACTTGTGATTCCAGATCAAACAAGGGTTCGGAGGAAGGGTTCGCCTTATGTTATCTGGAGCGGCACCTTTGCCAAAGCACGTAGAGGAGTTTTTGAGAGTTACATGTTGTACTGTCCTCTCGCAAGGATATGGTAACGATGGATGTTCTGGAATGTTATTTGTTGCATTTTTCATTGGATGGAGGGATAATTACACAGCTCTTAATGGCATTTTTCATAATCGTTAAATGGCAGGTCTTACTGAGAGTTGTGGTGGATGTTTCACGTCCATAGCGAATGTGTACTCTATGATCGGAACTGTTGGTGTCCCTATGACAACCATTGAGGCAAGGCTGGAGTCGGTGCCAGAGATGGGATATGATGCACTCGGCAGTGTTCCACGTGGCGAGATTTGTCTGAGGGGAACCACATTATTTTCTGGGTATCATAAGCGAGAGGATCTTTCTAACGCTGTACTTGTGGATGGCTGGTTCCATACAGGTACAAGGCTTTGTTAACTTATGGTTTTGTTGCTTATTAGTAGATTGCATAGCTGCTAATTCCTGCCACAGTTGTACTCAAGAAAGTTCAAATGGGGCACTAACCAAAATCAAACTAAACCCGGTATGTCCCACCTGAAGGGGGTTATGGGAGTAAATATACGTAGATTTGACATCTGGCCCAAAAAGTAGAGCGGTTTTTTCCGTGAAAATGGGGCACTCTTTTAGTCTAAGTAAGTTTAATATGGTTTTGAAACCACCTCTAGTAAAATGTTACTATGATTCTGGAATTTTTTCCCTTTATGTATCCTTTTACGGACAGTTTTAAAGATTAGAAGGTACAAAAATTTAATGACACGTATTGCAGGTGACATCGGGGAATGGCAGCCCGATGGAGCAATGAAGATCATTGACAGGAAAAAGAACATATTCAAGTTATCCCAAGGAGAATATGTCGCAGTTGAAAACATTGAAAGCACCTATGCACGGTGCCCATTGGTGACCTCGGTATGCAAATATTTTACGCTCCAGAATGTTATTTAGATGCGTGAACCGGATACTCGTTCTGTTAGAGTTCCATATTGGCTAGACTTGAACAATTTCTCTTCCATATGCATTGGAACCTCCCTCTCCCTTGAAGGGCTCTTTTGGAATGATGTTTCACATATTCTCACTTGGTATCAGAGTCAGTTTCACAACTTTAGGATTCGACACTTCAGGATTCGAGCTGTACTTGTCTTGTTCCCTCACCCGTCTAGCCTCCTCTCAACACTTGGGCATAATCTGTACCTGTCTAGCCTTAGTTGGAGGGGATGTGTTAGAGCCCCACGTTCTCACCTGAATGACTCTTTTGGATAGTAATATTGTGTGTTTTCAAATATTCTTACATGTAATCAAAGTCAGGTTTACCACTTTAGGGACTCTAAACTTCGGAGCAATCTGTACTCGTCTTGCCCCCTCATCCGCTTAGCCCTCTCTCAACACTGGGATAATCTGTGTCCGTCTAGCATCTATTGGAGGGGGCATGTTAGAGTCCTAGTCAGCTAGACTTGGACCACTTCTCCTTAATAAAGGGTTCTTTTGGAGATTAATCTACTAATGGGGTTCCATGTATTTTTACTCAACTGATCAACAGAAAATCTGTGCACCAAAAATAGCAAACTCTGTAATAATTTCTTCTGATTTCACAGATCTGGGTGTATGGCAATAGTTTCGAATCTTTCCTTGTTGCGGTTGTGGTGCCCGATATAACGGTGATTGAAGAATGGGCAGTGAAGAACAATGAATCAGGAGACTATGAATCATTGTGCAAGAACTCAAATGCTAGAAAATATGTTCTAGATGAGCTTAATTCTGAAGCTCAAAAAAACAAAGTATGGTAACTCAAAACTCTTCCATCTTTACATCGTTTTAGTTTCTCGTCTGATGTGAATAAACCCGGCACAGCTTCGCGGTTTCGAGACGCTGAAAGCCGTTCATCTGGAGCCAGTTCCATTTGATTTTGAAAGGGATTTGATAACTCCAACCTTTAAACTCAAAAGGCAGCAGCTGCTAAAATACTATAAGGTACTGCTACTTCATTTAGTCTATATTTGCTCTTTTTGTTTCTCCTTTTATACATGGTATATTCATGTATGATGTACGCAGACCTTATCTCTATCTATAACTGTCGGTCTTTGGCACATCATCTGCAGAATTGTGTCGATCAACTGTATAATGAAGCAAAAACAACGAAGAAATGAAGATCGGATTTGTTGTGTAAAGTAAATTCATAGTTTAGTACTGGATCGGATGTGTCACGTTCCACAAATCGCAATATTTATTCAAAGAGTGCAATCTATGGTTTGTAATATCGGATTATTGAACCCGTGCCGTATGGAATCTTATACGTATTCTTGATTAAGATCGACTGCTTTGGTTTCACTTAGACCGATCCAGGAATTTGAATTTGAAGGAAAATAAATATGAAATAAAAACAAATAATTATAAGATGGGTTTTGTGCCCATTTCAAACCAAAAAACAAAGTCCGTGTCCAAACTCGATTGTGTAATCCTACGTGAGAGCTTCGTTTTGATATATCATGTGCCTAAAAACGAAAGATAGGTGAAAGAGATTCTGGTATTCAAAGTGTAACAATAAAAGCGAACGTAAGTCTTGTATGGATAAATTTGTCTGTCCAGATAAATGAGTGTTGTTTACTTTTTTTATCTGAACCAACAGTCTAAATAACATAAATGACCGATTTACCCCTAATATTAATTATTTAAACATCAAAACAAAAATTCATAAAGAGGCCGAAGATGGGTGTCTCATATGGGAAGGAGGCAGTGCTTTAAATAGGGGGTAGAGGTGTCATTTTTGTGGCTGAATGGGGACAACACATCATTTCTATCTGGGCGATTAAGCCATGTTCTGTGCGAATAAGCCGTAAGTAAACAATCCAAATGAGATGTGCAAATAAGCCAGATAGACCAATAAACCTAATTAAGCAGCAAGTAAACAACCTCATAGTCTCGAATTGAAAATGCATGGTGGGTCGTATTTCTATTGTAGTTGATTTAGTCTTGGAACATAATTATTATATCCATCACCTTATAAAGAAGAAACATTACGCTTATATATACACTTAGATCTTTGAAAACGACATTTCAGATCTCTTAAATAGACAACGTTAATATGATTAACCGATATACAATGTTAATAAAAATACATTTCACCCTTTCAACTACATATACCTCTCCATACCTTTTATCTGACTTCGGGGTCGTTTATCAAACACTTACCCGGTAAGTGCTTACCGGTAAAATTTAACATTATTATATACTTACCGGGTAAGATTTTAGTTCACCAAAAAAACATGGTATACCACAATTTACCTGGTAAGCGCTTACCGTGGTAAGAGTCATCGCCCTCACTTACCGGGTAAGACTCTTGGTCCTTGTCTCGCTCTTATCGAGTAAGATTCTTAGTCCTTACTATATTTATTCGGTGAGGTAATATTATTTGGTAAGCGCTTACCCTGGTAAACGTTTGATAAACGACCCCTTCACCTTAAATAGCGTCTATTATTTCGTGAGTAACAATTCTCTTCAAATATGTTATGTTTAACGTCAATCCAACGACATCTTGGAATGAGCAACAATTCTCTTCAATTTGCTAGTTTTTTTTGGTATATTCTCATGACTTTTATATTCAATATAATAATTAATATAAATATATTTATTTAATTAATATTCCTTTTAAAATATATAATAATTATATACGGAAAATAAAACAAATAAATTCACATACCCTCCTTACCTTTAATAATATTTAAACTTTTAACCTCTTAGGAAGCAAAATGCTTAAAAATAGCAAAATTGCATGTTTTCTCTTAAAAATGAAGTGGAGGACCATGGGAGGGTATGATTGCCTTCATTCATTTGAGACTCCAACCTCATACATACTTTTCAAAATTACCATCAATCATTAAAATTTTAAAAATATCTTATCGATTATATCATTTCACTTTTATCTTTCGTTGTTACAAAACCACTGTATTTTATGATATTATTGCAATCAGATCTTTTGAAATCATGTGAAATATTTAATTATCCTTATAAAAAAATTAAATTTAATATTTGTGGGGTTTCATAAATATTTGGGACGGGTCTTTAATCCCGTTTCGTTTAGAGGATTAGATTGAATTTGGAGTTGAATTTCATTTAAGTCTCGTATTTGGTTTGAAGGATTTTTTAAAATTTGAAACCCACAAAGGATTTTAGACTTTACAGGTTTTGTTGTTACAGAAACACCATTTTTTTAGTTCATAGAAATCCTTGCAAGCTCAATAGTTCACCGGGATTATCACCACTAAGTGCGATGTTGATAATTGTTATGCATATTTGCTTCATTGTATCTTGGGAAGCAATTCAGTATAAATCCGAAGCACTTTGTTCTACTGAATGGTGAGGACAAAATTGCTTTAAAGGCCAAATGGTGGTGCCTGATTGGTTTGAGTTTAGCTCCAAAGGTCAAAAGTACCAGGAGGTCTCAGGTTCAAATCCAATGAGGAATAAAAATCTTCTTGTGGCCACGGAGGTTCAAATGCAGTGACTCCGGGCTATCTGCAAAGCAAGTGGTTGCCTTGGGATTAGTCGGCTGCCATAGCGGGTTGGATATCGAGGTTAATAAAAAAAATTGCTTTAAAGATAAAACGAATTCGTCTTGAAGCAATAAGTTGTGGTTTTCATTTATCATTTTATGCCTTCAAATTAGAACCCTCAAAACCAATAATGAGAGCATCTTCAGTAGATTTTCTATAATTTTTCTAAAACAGAGAACCAAAACATAATTTTCTAAAGAGAATTACATTTATCTTCAACAGATTCTCTATTTTAAAGATTTTAACATAAATTATATTATAAAAATATTCCCTAATTTATCATTCAATACACTTTTTATAAAAAAAATAATAACTCAATCTCATTGGTGGAATTAAATAAACTAATCATTTCTCTCTCTCACCTTCAACTTTTAGAGAATTCTCTATATTTAGAGTTTTCTCTATGATTCTCTATTTTAAAGAACAAGATAGCAAAACTGTTGGAGCATTTTAGAAAACAAAAACTCATTTTTTTTTCTATTTTAAAAATACTGTTGAAGATGTTTTGAACAATAATTATAACTATAACATTATTAACGATAACAAAATTCCTTTATCAGATTCGACCCACGTAATGACACAAGCAAACAAGTGATTTTAGCATGAGCAAAATGCAGTGGAGGCTCCGACCCTTGGGGGGTATTTATGTAATTTGTCGTGACTTTCATTCGTTAGAGAAAAGGGAGACATATATGCTAAAAGCTCACATACTTTTCAAAATTACCATCAGTTATATACATTTCTCGACATTCCGATTCTCAAAATATCTCATAAAGCAACTCAAACGTCGGTATATCTTGGGTTTTATAATTCACTGTTATAAAACCACAATATTTGACATATTTTAAATCATAATTACAATTAAATCTTATTAAATCTCGTAAATTATGAACCATCCTTATGAAATTTTAAATCCAAACGCGTGATCAAAATCCAATTCCAGATCCCACTAAGGGACTGTCCTAAAAGAGCTGAACGGGAATTATAAGGGTTATAGCTTATTCGGTCAACTATAAAAAGTTATTCGGTTAACGGCTTATTCACTGAGCCTATGTCTTAATCAGTCAGCTAGAAACCGTCGTTACTTTATACTCACCCATTTAATTCCCCAACTGCCTTGTAATAAAGAAAAACCCCACTTTTTAAATAGAAAAGGACACTCCTCCCTAACGATCTTCTTCCTGCCGAATCGCTCAAGTTGGATGCAACGATGATGAAAGATGAAGCAGCAGTTGCAACATTTCATTGAAATTGAAGAAAAGATTTTGAGGTAAAAACAAGAACTTCCCTCTCAATTATTTTTGTCTGATTGTTTTTTTTTACTATGGATTAAGTGCATGAAGTAGCAATCTATTTTCATTATTTTTTTATTATAACATTGTACTTTCATTTTTACTTATTACAACAATGTACTTTTAAATTATTTTTTATCGTACTTTGAAAAATCTCTCTATTATAGCAATATGTAACATGTTACATTTTAAACTGGTTAACCCTTACTTTTGTTTGCTTTATTGGCTTAAATGAGGTGATATAAATGACACATCATTTTGATGACAATGACTAAAACAAAAAAACAAAAAAAAACTTTTCCAATTTATTTTTAATGATTTTTTACATTCCATTGCTACGGTTATAAAGAACGTTTCAATTTTTTACTTTTTCTTATTAAATTGCATGTAAATTAATTATTTTAAAGTAAAATATTTCTTAAATAACAATGATATATTATTTTCAAAATAACTATAATTTTTTTTAAACAAGTATAATATTTTCTTTAAAAGATAAATATTTTTTTGGTAAAACACGTGACAATTCTTATTTTTAGTACATATTTTAGAAAAATATTAACGAGAGCAATTGTGTTATCTTAGCTTTCTTAATATTGTTATATTAATGAATAATTTAGAAAAATACTAATTTAATTAATATATTTATTAAATAATATTTAAAACAATTATTTTTCAAAGTATACTGTTATAATAATAAATGTCACATCAATAAAATTTTACACGCGAACATCCCATTAAGACAATGAGATGACATTGAAACCTGGTAAAATTTGACATGTCATCTTAATTCAAATAAAAAAGTTATCCATTGCTATAATCTTAATTGGGAGAGACTAAATTGTTAATAAAAATTTAAGATTAGAAACAAATACTAAATTGTTTGATTAAATGTACATGTCTAAATAATAAAATATTAAAACTAAAAGTACAATGTATAATAGGAAACGGTGATTCTATAATAAAATAATTTTGAAAGTGCAATATTGTACTAAAAAATGTCGCATCAACAGTATAATACATGTGGACGGCTTACATGGATAGTGAGGTGTCGTGGAAACCTGGTGTAATGGGTAAATTTAAATCAAAAGGTTACTTAATGTTATAATAGATAAATTTTTCAAAGTATAATGTGGTAATAAAAAATAAACTGAAAGTACATTAATGTAATAAAAAAAACCGAAAGTAAAAATACTATAATAAGGAAATTTATAAAAATAAATTGTTATTTCGTGCATTTTTCTTTTTTACTATTATTGTTCACATGTAATCTATATTATATTATAAAACATTCGATAAAAACTTTTAAAATCATTTTATATGCATGAATTACTGTTTATTAATGCATATTACTTAAAATTAAATATTACAAGTAAATTGTTCGTAAGTAAAACTTAGTAAAGCTCCATGTTTGAATTTGTGTAACTAACTGTGGATATAC